ATGTCATTGTTCTTTTGCTATTGGAAATAAAAAAAAATTCCTAATTAATACTATTAAGAAAACTTTGATTTTTATTGTATTACATTTAATTCTTTCTATTTTTTAATTGTAGGAAAAATTCTTAAAAAAAAAAATTCCTCTCATCACCTAATTTCAGAGTATTGCTCTCTTGCAACAACTTTTTTTTTTTAAAAATAATTTATTCAAATGTAACTATTCTTCTGTAACTTTCTTCCTAATTTTCTTTGCAAATTCCACTTTTCCTTTTACCTTCTTAACTAATACTTATAGTACAGAACAAGAAAGCAGATGTTCGTTCTTTTCGTCCCTTAGAAGTACAAGAAAGGTGCAATAAAAGAGATTTTATTTCTGCCTCGCAGAACTCTCTCTGCATTGGTGTGCAAAAGAGAGCAATAGCTAAGAATGGTCATTCAATTTTGCGGCAGTACATCCTCGACACGTTTGCTGATTGGGTGCCAAAGGGTGGGATGTTCATTTTTGTTCCTTATTTATTTATTCTTTTTCGTTCGTTCTTACCTATCAAAAGACTTTTTTGTTCCTAAAACTTTCGGTTATCTCATTGCTTATTGCTGGCTAGCACAATAAGAATTCATTTTTTTTTTGTTGCAAAATAGTCTTTGTGAAGAGTTTTGCTTTCCTTTATGGAATTTGATCTACTTTTTTTCAGAATAAAAATGAAGATCCGGGATCATTTTTCACGAAGGTGATGAGTTAGCAATATTAAAGCAAATGTCTGCATTTTTTTAGTTAGCAGATTTTCTTTCATGTTTCATGTTTTTACATTGTTACAAAAATATTTTGCAAGCACGTGAAAAATTTATTAGTTAAAATTAAATATTGTTGTTAATACTATTGACTATTTATATTTTATAAATATTTATTGCTTTTTATTTATTTTGCAAACTATATTCTGGAAATGTATATTGAATGTAATCAGTGTAAAATCGAAATACTACAAGTACATTAAATTGGCAATAAATTTGGCGAAGCTTCTCGACTAGAGATGGTCAAACCAGTTAATTTCTGCTGTTAATTTTAACATCCACAATTTTTTAATTTGGCTATTAGATTCTATACATGAATACTATTTAACTGTGGGGGTTGTCATTAAATCTATATAATATCTAAAAAGAGATTCTTACACTATTTTCTAAATCACACGAAAATCCACAATAAACGTTATAATAATAATAATCCAAAAAATTCTTCTATAGCCAATCAAGCAAAATGCATAAACACCACAACTATATCAAGACAGGTTCGATGTTTGATAAAGTGGAAAAAGAAAAAAAAAATCATGAACTAATATACATAACACTTATTTAAAATAAATTGAGTTGATTTATCTATAATGCTGACAAATAGCATATTTCAGAATTATTTACAATTAATCTATTTATATGCACATGGTTAATATATTTGTCATCGACCCATAATAAAATTAAGCATATTGTATCTAGAATACACATAATTGCATATGACATTCAAAAGAGTAAAGGAAATCAATTAACAAACATCGTAAATTTCATTCCAGAAGAATGTCCATTTTGCATTCAATACTTCTATTATAAGACGCTTATCCCCCTATAAAAAAAAGTCTTTTATGCTTATAAAGATGTATTAATTTTTTAAACTGTGAACTGTAAATCATTGTGGCTTCTTCAAATAAAAATTAACTTCCAAAATTTAACACTCACGTTTAAGGAGGCTTCCAATTAAGGTTTTTAAGGCTTAAGGAGGCTGCCAATTGATTTTTTAGTTACTATCTTCCCAATTTCTCCCCTTTTGATTTCCAATTCACCTCGTTGACCTTTGTCCTTGTTGGAATTTTTATGCTTTAGTTCGTGCCAAGCAGCGTTACGTGGTAGTTTTATAGAAATCGTTTGGAACCGATTCAGAATTGCGCTGTTGCCGTGGAGACCAGCTGTTGCTGTGGAAACGAGTTGTTTTATTCTAAAAAGAACTTTTTTCTTCCAGTTTAACTTTTGACTTTGAACTGTTACCATCAACCCTGTATATCTTTGTAAATATTGTTTGTAAATAAATGAAGATTCCATAAATGTTTGTATGGATTGATCAATACTTCTCGAACCACTAGAAAGCTGCGGCTAATAAGAAAAATAGAACCACCGATAGAAAGAAAAACGATAGTCGTAGTGAGAGTCCTAGCCATTTTGAACTCTCTTTCTCAATCATTGGTCAGCACTTTCATGTAGAGAACTCCTCTGGGTCCTCATTGAATTTAGGAAGAGTCTTTTTCTCCCCTTCTCCTTCGGACAAACTTCGAGATGCAGATCAGAGGTTGACTGCCCACGCTCCATGCCATAGCTGGTTCATTTTTTTTCAAGTTATATAAATATCATAATACTATAATCATAATTCGACAATATAATATGCTCTCCTTCTGTCATAAAACACTAATACTTAGCTTGCAAAGCTTACGTATTGCAAAGCTTCACTCCTCTATTAAAATATATCTTGACCATAAACAGGAGGTGCAGCCCAAAATGCAGCCAACCGGGACAACTATAATTTAAACTTTACCCCCAAGAGAATTCTGAGTAAATTCCTATCTTCATTCTCAGCAGTGAAAACACACCCTTCACCCAGGTGTCCAGCACAGGATATCATTAACTCGGAATTTATAGCCTCTTTAAATGTTGTTAAGGCGAGAGAGAGAATTTAAGAAACACTGAACTAGAAATCAAGTCCTTGAATGTTTATGTATATATATATAACTTTTTATGCAGAAGACAATCAATAACAAAGATATCTATCATATTACACATCAAAATTTATATCATGCACAAAATAAATTTTTGTCGACATGACATAACAGATGGTAATTTTGAATTTGAATATAGAATATGTGTATTGGGGATCATACCATAAGAAATTCGTTAAATTTTTGAGATATATTTTCTATACATCGGGTGTACAAATATGACTTCGCCTTTTTTTGGATAAATAAAAATTTATTTTTGTTATACAAGGATATATAAATTTATTAAAAGTAGGCTACATCTTCAGCAATAATCCTTACTCATCTTTCAGGCAATTTAAAGATTCCCTCACTGGAGGAGATTCAAGTCTGGAGGAGATTCAATTATTCAGCCCCAATTCGATATTGTCTATTCTTATATTCTGGTCATTCATGCTCTATAGCTAATTTCAAATGCATTGGTTACCATCAATAGATAACGCCAATAATTCAGATGGTCCCAGCAGCTCATAATAGATCTCACCTTTTTAATCTCACCAAATACAGATCCTAGCCTTGAAACACTGAATATTTCGTTTTGACTGCGATGAGCTTGCTTCATACAAGATTTTTTTTGTGTTTAAATTGACGTATTATGTCTTTTTTATCACCAGTCACAATCTGATGTGAAAAACACTTTCATTTTTTTGTCTTTCAAGCAGTATTTCATAAATTGTATTTCGACGTTCAAATTTTTTTTTTATTAATGTGGCAGGGAATTTGTTTTTTTTTAACTATCATTATTTTCTGTAAACGTTGTGAAACACATTGTTGAGTAGCATTTAATGCAGAAGCTAATTATGATTCTGCATGGGATTGATCTTCATCGAGTAATGCTTCTGGTTCAGCTTCTGATGTTTTTTTTTTTTTTTTTGATGAATTTCCATGCTTTTTGTCCTCCTTGTCAAAATTGTCTTTTTAAATGTCGAAAACATTATTTACAAGTTGTATTCGATGGAGCATGATCACCATATCTTCAAGCAAATAAAACGTTTTCGGAAACTTTTTTTGCAATAAAATAATGCAACAAAACTTCCCACAAATGATGTTTGTTTGGAATAAAATGATTCAATACTTGAAACAAAACAAAAATAATACTTGTTTACTCTTATTACAAATGTCATACATTAAAAATTAAAGCTTACTATGATCTCTATCAAATACAAGTACAGAATAAGAAAATTCATTTCCTCGATGAATAGGCAGAAGATAGTATAGGCTCAGGCGTCTATCCAATTGTCTATTTGATATATATATCAAATGTATAAAAGTACATAAATTTGACACTTTTAATCTGTTGACCCCCTTTTGTAAAATATTTTCTATGTTAAAAGTAATTACTGTAGGGAAATAATATCTTATGCAATATTTTTAAAAATATTATGAAGAGAGTTAATACATAATTGTATTGACATACAACATGAGAAAAAGTTTAATAAAATGGATGAAATCGAACTACGAAAAATCCAAGAAGAAAGATGTATTATATAATATCATCTCAATCTACCATATCTTAAAACAGAACTTAGATTAGTACAGTCATTTGCAAAATATTCCTTCTAAAATATATATTTATTATTTCATCTCGCAAAAGCAAGTAAAAATAATGAAACACAAATAATCCGATCAATAATTAAGTAAATAGTATCATGTAGCGTATCATAGTGTATCATCGGATTTAAATGTTAAATTTAAGTGGAATTGAAAAATAATGCTTTGCATGCGTGTTTCTTATATGTTAAGGTTATTTGGAGTTAAAAATAAAAGCCGCTGTGAGTGAAAGTGTCGAATTTAACCGGAGTTAAATTTAACGCAACTCTGGATGATACACTAATATTTTTTACTTTTCTCCCCACAGTGTTGAATTTAACTGGAATTAAAGTCAACCCCTAATATGAATCATGGAATTTAACCTGCATTAAAATTAACGGTACTTCTGTTGTTGTTTCTTATCCCACTTGGCTGGCCAAGCCCACGAGCCCATACGTACTCATGATTGAAGGGGAAGGAAGCAGCTTCTGTTGTGATGGAGCACCCGTAGGTAGAAGTCTGACTTTGGCTCCGTGACGCTCTCACAGTCATAGGAGACCGGGACCTACGGCTTAAAGTGGATTCCGAACCACTACAAACATCCATGGCACCGCCGGGATTAGAACCCGAAACATGTGGCACCGAGCGCCAGACACTCGGCCATTCAGGTCCCAAATTTGTGAATGCCAACGGCACGCGGTGTTCCCAGGTGGTCACCCACCCAAGTACTGACCGCGCCCAATGACTTCAGTGATCTAACGAGAACCGGTATATTCAGCATGGTATGGTCGTTGGTACGCTACTTCTAATGCCACCTAGTGACGAGGCTGTGAGCCATTGTTAATAATTGTTAAATTAACTCTTAATATTAAAGGTTTCTTTTCCAAATAGTTTAAACTAACCGGCATTAAAATTAACGCCATTTTTAACTCCACCTAGCAAGATGGTTATGAAGTTTTTAAATGAAAAACATGGGATTCCAACAAAAGAATTGTTCGTGTACCTGATGCCATTATATGTACCTGAATCCTGCATTAAATTTCAGTAGCTAACTGTAAGTCAACGTATCGTTGTTAGTTACGACAAGTAAATAAATCAGACATTGTTCGGGGATTTGTATTTGTATTTCCTGCAAACAGAAGCAGGATACGTTAAATATCTGTACGTTTCGAAGATTCCATCAAGTCATCCACTGATGTATAAAATTACTTTCTTGAAAACAGAGAATTTCGAGATATCTCTGTCTCTGTTGATATCAAAGGTGCATATAAGGTTTAAAATTCAAAGTGTGAAATGGCGTTAAGAATTCCATCAAATGAGAATCTATCAGATCAGCAATTTAAGGAAGATGATCTAAGGAGAATAGAAAAATTTATCACCGTTAGAGGTGAAATTAATTTCAATATTATTTACAATGAGTACATTTTAGATGAAAAAAAAGAGAATAAGTTAAATGAAATTAAGTTTTTATTTATTGAAATCCAAACACTTTTTTCTATAGAATTTTCTTATTTTTTAGTTGCATAAATAATTAAAATTATTTATTTAAATACTATTAATTACTGTTTTAAATTGTATAATGTTAATATAAGATTCATAAGTTGTAAAATACGTTTTTAGATGGTATAATAATTTTTGAAAAATTAAAATTTTAAATTTATTGCTTGGATAATAAAAATAATCCATAGATAAGTAGGCCTATGTGAATAGCTGCACAGATTTTCGGTGCGAATCCAGGTGGTGCCATGGATCTTTGTAGCGGTTCAGAATCCACTTTAAGCCGTAGGTCCCTGTCTAATATGATTGTAGAGCGTTGGGAATAGGGATGACAATCCTATCCCGTAAAAAGTCAGCCTTTTACCTACGGGTGCTCTATCACAACAGAAGCTGTACCTTCTTTCCCTGAAACCACTTGGACTTGGCCTAGATATTGCTGTCTACCAAGTGGGATAAAAAACGACAGCAACAATATAGGGGAATTTAATTGGTATTCCATTTTATATTAATACCTGTACAAAAAAAACAACATTTTTTATTTTTTCCTAAGAAAGGATTTTCCATATCGATTTTTAAAATAATTCAATATTATTATTTATAGAAAAAAAATTTAACAAAATAAGTCAGTTTTTTGAGATGTATGCAAATTCATTATTTAAACATAAGAAATCATGAGAAATCATAATCCGAATGGCTAGCACTCTGGCGTTCGGTACCACAGGTATCGGGTTCAAATCCCGGCTTTGTTGCCCATGGGTGTTTGTAGTGGTTCGGAATCCACTTTAAGCCATAGGTCCCGGTCCTAATAGGATCGTAGAGCGCTGCGGGGGCATTGTTACTTACCATCAAGTAGTAGCTTTCCATCAAGTTACACGCGCCCCCTGGGTAATGCAAAGTGAGTAACATCAGTGCAGCCCTTATGGAGTTACCTCAGTTACCTCACGGTCTATTGCCAGCTGCATTAGAAAAAAAACACATAAGAAATTATAACAGGAACATATTCACTGATATGAGGGACTTCAGGCTAGAGAACTTATTCACTTTATTACAAAGAACAAAGTAGAACATTTTTTACTTGATAGAAACGATCCCTGCTATTTTATTGAAGTATTCAAGAGCAATTTCTGGATACGAATAATTTTTTTTTTGCTAATATTTAGTCAGACAAATGCAAATTTTGTGACCAACAGATTCGCAGAAAATTCAAAATAATACAAAATGGTATAAAATATCATAGATAAAGTGATGCCAAAATGAAAAAGCAATTTTAACATAGGGATATATTAAAGTAATGTACCAGTACAGAATTATCCCATTTCAGACATAAATGAAAGGGTACCTCAGTATACGATCATAATCTATTTCTAAGAGTCTGATCCCAAGACTTACACTAAGCAAATCTGTACCAAAAGAAATAAGGATAAAATGATTAATCACTTTCTAGGAAAAAATCATATTGTCATTATCCTATTATTCATTTATGCTGTTGTGGGAAATAATTTAAATATTGCTTAATATTAAAATACATGAATACAAAAGGAGTTTGATGAAATACATGCATGAATGAAAATTTTCTACCATATTAAATTGTTCTTTTTTCTGCTTATTTTTTCTACTTTTGACTTGGTTGGGGATCCCCATATTTGGGATACATATTAAAAATTTGTTCCAAAGAATTTTTCTTCTGCATTTTTGTCAGGAAATTTTGTACACGTAACGTTTGTTCATTTGTTCATTGCAGACAATGCTTTCAAGGCTTGTTTGAGAGGTGTTACTTTGCAAAGGTTTCAATTATCCATCCATTTCACAAAGATTTTTACGCACGCTAGTAGTCAAAAGGTCGTATACCAAACGAAGATTTTCGGACTGGAATTGTCGATGCGAGACGTTTACACCTGCTGTCTAAATATTCTCGGAAGCTCTTCATTTCTAAAAGCACACGCATATCACCGTCACCCTCATACATGCTCACACTGCACACGCACATTACTCATTAGACTCTTGTATTTATTGCATTTATATTGTATATTTTTGCAATGTTTATTTATATGTTAGAATTGCTAGGACTGTTTGTATCATCTCGGTCACAATTAATGACATAAATATATAATATAGACATAAAAATATAATGTAATGCTTTAAAGCATTTATAAATCTAATAACTAATAGTAAATGTATGGCTTAAGTTATTTTATTAGGAAAAAAAAAAATTCTGACTAACGTTTATGGGCAGTTAAGCAATTTTATCAAATCAGGTAGTTTTTCAAACAAAAATGTAATACAACCAAATATGAAAGAGGTTTCTTTGGCGTTTTATAAGCATACATATATTACAGGATTCAATTTGAATTAAAATACTGTTTTATATGATAAATTATTGTCGTATTTCTTTGCTTGTAAGTGTATATTTCAATGATTTACGTTTATTTCTTTCAAAATATAAAACTTAAGAAATACCTTCTTATAATATAATTCCTGAAATATAACTGATTTATGGTAGATCTGATTTATTACTGATTTATGGAAGTTTTCAGAAACACTTGCATTACAATAGACAGAATCCACTAAAGCATAAATCATTTCTGGCCCTTCTAAGGCATTTCCAGATTTACAGCCGACTCAGATCTTCACGAAAGTGGATGTTTTTATGATACCTTGAGACATTTGAAAATCCTGGCTGAAACATATCTTAATCCCTTTTTCTGGATGTTATGATATCTTCCTTGGAGCATAATTCATTTTCAGAAAAGCTTTTTCCAATACCTAAAATTCTAACAGGAATAAGAATAATTGTTTTCAGATTTTTATGAAAAAAGAAATATGGCAATGAAAAGTTAGACAAATGCTTTAATTGAAATCCTCTCAGGATTGAATTTTTTGTTCATTTTTATCTAATTTCATTTTTATAGGATATTTTGTTTTGTTTTTTGTGTCTCATTGTTGGGTTTTATGTTGAAATTCTCTCAGAATAATATTTTTTTGTTCATTTTATCTAGCTAATTTCATTTTTATAGGACATTATACATTTTTTTGTGTCACATTGTTGGGTCTCATGTTCCATTTACATATGCCACGAACAGAGAAGGCAAGAATTTCAGGGAGAACTTTTAGAAGTAAACGCCATACAATTGAGTGTCATTTAGTATACAGAAATCTTTGAAAAACACATACTAGACAGCTTGTTTGTTGATGTGAGATTATTGCTACTGTGTCTAAAAAGTAAGGCTAATTTTCAATTTAAAATTCTCGGGGATTATGGAATTTAAATTTCTTTTTCTTTTTTAGGTTGCTGGTTGTCCAAAATGACATCTGTGGGAAATTTGACGTCAAAATATTCTATGCTAAACATGCTTGAGTTACGCTTAGCTTTGTGAGATGCAAAAACAGTTTCCGGCGATTTTTGAAATGTCTGAATTAATTCAGTAAAAAACTTGCAATAAATTTTGTTTGCGGAAGAGTATTGAATATTGCAAAAATCGGAATAAATTGCTATATCGGAAGAAATGTTTAGAAGTGGTATAAACAGTTCAAAGAATGCAGAGAACGCGTTGAAGACCTCAACCGACGAAGCTAATGTCCAAAAAATTAAAGATTTGGTGCTTGCAAACCATCGATTTACAATTAGAGTCTTTGCTGATGATGTTGGAATTTCAAAAGGATCGGTCAATTCTATTTTGGGCCTCAAACGCGTCAAATCTCGATTGGTACCGAAAACACTGAATGTGCCAATTCACACTGCAATGATTCTTCGCGACTTTTTCGCCAAAAATGAAACCCATATCGTTCCACAGCCACCGTATTCACACCGTGCTACTTCTGGTTGTTCCCTAAATTCAAAAGACCACTCCGGGTACACCGTTTTGAGTCGATTGAAGAGATTCAACCTGAATCGCCGCGCGCTTTGAAGGTCATACCTGCCGATGACTTTTTAGCATGTATGAGGATTGGAAAAAACATTAGCATAAGTGTATTGTGTCTGGATGGGATTACTTTAAAGGCGATAAAATAAATTTGGAAGAATAAATAAAGAGTTCTTGAAAAAAAATTGGTCTTACTTTATGGGCACAGTAGTATACATATTGTTCAATTATCATTGATTCTCAGCGTTTTTGAAAGCTGTGATGCCGACAGCAAGTATGAATCATAGCCTTCATGCACGGTAGCTGTTCATGTTACCCCCGAATTAAGAGTTAATTATTTATATTTATTCACGGTTATTTAGGAACGCTAAAATCTTACAAGTTTTTATGACAAAACATGTGATACAAACTCGCGAAATGTGAGAAATGAGAATGC